AAAACATTCTGGAACTTGGAAAATTATGTGTAATGTGAAATGATAGAATTCTAGTTTATAGTAACCATGACTAGTAGACCATATATTGTCACCATGAATAAAGTAATAATCTGCCAGGTAGTGCATTCCATCATCACATTAGAACATATACCGCAACTGAAAGAGAATAACAGTTTAATAATTAGCAAAACCACACCATAAATATAATTAAAGTGTGGAATTTAATGTTATTGTTAATACTTGTAATTAATAATTCGGTATTAATCGCTCGAGCCAAAACTCAACCGAGATGAAATTAATAACATCTTACTCTTAAAACAAATTTTCAGGAAAATAAGTTTAATATAATATAGTCCAGAAACTTTATTTACATTTTTCGGTCTATTGTCCTCATCTTTGTCGCCATATTTATTACAACGTTTCGGCCGTTAGTACGTTCCAGCCTTCTTCAGATGGTTGGAATGTGGAACTGAACCCTTTATTTCGCTCACTGGGGTAGACTGTTCGAGTTCCACGTGCCATGTTTAATGGATGTCAGTTATCAGTTATCCCCTGTTAATTTCCCTCTGAAATTTCTCCAATACCTTAACCGAGTACTGAACTCACACACTTTGGGTCCTGTCACTGGATCTAACTAACGCTTTTATCCACTGTGCCATGTGTCCTTGAGGACATCTGTGTATGAATTTATGAGTATTATAAACCTAGTGTCTTCTGCTTCATTTTTTTACCAGTGCTCATATTGCAATTTTTGCTGTTATCATTTATGATTTTTACCAGAGCTCATATTGCAATTTTTGTTGTTATTATCGCTTTTCTCTGGCACTCGTTATTACTGGTTCCTATAATGTATTTCTATGCTTGGTCGGCTCAGGAGATTTTTGTGGCATAGAATATGTGCTGATTCCTTAAATTTACGAATTTTCCAATGGTGTTCTTTGTCTATGATCTCAATCTGTTCCCACAGAGGGCGGTGATCTCACTTCTCTCTCCTAATGTGGTCAGTCACGCCTGATTTCCCACTTCCCCTCGTGTTACAGCTTTCTGGTGTTCTTGAAGCCTTACCTTAAGGGGCGGCCTGTCCCCCCTTTATATTTCTTCCCGCAGCTGAAGAAGGCCGGATCGTACAACGGCCGAAACGTTGTAATAAATATGGCGACAACGATGAGTACAATAATTCGATTAATGTAAATAATGTACATAATACCTCATCTCAGAAATATAGACGGTCCAGGAATGTTATCGCGTTTTCCAGTATAGATAGATTGATGATTTCATCTATTATACTTGCAATGCCTAGAAGAACCGGTAAACTTCTGCAAGAAACCAACAACCTTGGAAGCATTAAATAACAGCTGTCACAGCGTACAAATATTTTTAATGCCATGTCATTTCTGCCGAAGATCCTGGCTCTATAAGATCACTTTTTATTTACTATCACTGAATTGTCACGTCTTCTTGCGAAAAATAATAGGTTCCCCTTGTCGCAGTTTCGGTTTAAGCATATAGTCTTTGTCTTAATCTACATTATAACCATGTCTAGATTCCAGTCTATCCTTCTACTTTACCCATACGGGCAAGGGAAAAAGCTTCCTCTTTTTTCCCTAATGCAACGGGTGTGTATCTTCCAAAAGTTACTGCTTACAATGTCCTCAAATTAATTAACCCTACTAATATTCAAGAAGATAGTATTTCATTTAGATTGGCAATACAAAGTCAGAAACGAAGACATTTACGAAAGAGAAATGATCACATCACTTGAAAACTTGCAATTCCATTAGCAAGAATGAGTATTGCATATAACTGAAAGAGAAAATAATGTACAATGAAACATTTTAACAGTATGAAAAACACAGATTTGGAGGAAAATATTTTTAAAAATCCATAATATTTAGTGACCATGAGAATTTCGGTCATTGATTACCAAATTTTCTATGAATGAAAATTATTATTTTCATTGTCAACATACTAGAAAATAGGTCTACGTGGTCTACGGAGAATTTTTCGTCGACCCTACGGACTCGAATTCCCGACATTAAATTCGGCCTTTTTCCACGTCTGACCGCATCGGGGGTTGGTAGATATTCTGCAATTGGAGGTTTGTTTTCAGCAGTCGTGTTCAAACTCTATGCATACGGGCAGATAGGATTTCAGTCGAGTCTATGTCGAAGGGTAGAGTCTCGTCTCGGAAAACAGCTACCCGATCCCGAGCCTACGAACTCTGATACCCCACATTATATTCGGCCTTAGGACAAATCTGACCGCGTGGGGCGGTTGGTAGATATTTTGCAATTGGAAATTGATTGTGGAATTCACTTCACTCCTAGCAGTTGTCGTATCTTATTTATTGTTGGTGTCCTTAGTATTATCGTTCATTACCAACCCCAGTCTGATTATTCTATTCAGTAACCTTCACTAGGTTAAAATACTTTGGGTAGGCTTGAATTTGAAACACCTTGACGATTATTCGCGAATAACCCTCAGCTACCGGGTATTTAATCTCTGTGATAGCGATAAAATACCAAATTCTACGTACTGTATTAGAATCTCGAGATTAATTTTACGAAGTTTAGATCAAATATATATGTAAGAAATGTTGTCATGACCATGAAGCTTTTTTATTCCTGATAAAAAAGTTTTGATAAAAGCAGCGTATATCCTTTTAGGAGGAGGGGCTATTTGTGAGCGGTAGAATTTTTGAAACTGGTAAAAATACAGAACCGAATATTGGAGATTTAATTTTTTGTCTTACGCCTTCCGCATCGACTGAATCAAGTTAAAATTAAGTCGATGAAGAAATTTAATTATAAACAGGATTTATCTCCAACAATCAGTAGACTATATTTTATATCCAACAATCAGTAAACTATATTTATATCATCATTAGACTAATTTACTTAAACGTAGATATTGAAGATTTTATTTTAACTACAGACAAAAGATAACTTTCTCAATTCGCATTGCTAGGGCTTCCAGACAATTTTTATCAGGAACAAGATTTAGAAAAAATTTCAATTATAATGAATTAAATAGTATGATTGCTCTTTTCATTTCTTTATTGTTCTTGTAATTATAAATTTGTTAGATTAATTAACCGCTGAACTTAAGATGATGAGTCAATAGACATAATTGACAGCCATTTATAATGCTCCCTCTTATGTAGGAGACGGGTGTCCACGTCTTTTGCTTTTCCTTGAGTAATGTATTTTCTTTGTTACACTTTTCTTTTCAAAGTATTTTTAACTCGTTATCTTAGTTTTTTTTCTACTACTTATTATCAAAGATGTTTACAATCAGAGCTGAATGAAGTACAGAGCTAGAATGCGTGAATTGTAGATGGAAAGATAGTGTCGCCAAAATACTTAGTGCGTTGAATCTTCTTGCCTTTGTAGTCTTCCTCTCCATACAACGTTTTGGAAAGTTTTCTTTTAACTGCGACCGAACCCGAATTACTGACATGAACATAGAAATACATATTTTACATTTATACTTTTTGTCAGAATTCAAATTTGTAACTTTCAGTGGTGGGGTGCATCTGATATTATTCTTGAATAATGCAAAATAAAATAGAAAGAATTAAATGTTGACATTAAAAGTAGCAATCATAATATTGACATTTACTGGCGTTGAAATCAGAAATGGAAGCCAACAAATTAGTTAAGAACCTAAGTATACAATTTATTGTTATTATTATTTTATTTCTTTGGGTTTCTGGTTTATACTCATTTTTACCGGGTCACGACCACAGACCTAAGGTCAGAAATGGCATCATGACATTTTCCACTGAGAAAATTTGAAAAAGGTCGCATATATCTTACTTAGATAAAGGCCTTCGTAATGTGTGGGCTATACCTGTGAGTACAATGCTATTTTTTTATTTCTTTAAGGTATTTTTCTTCTTCTTCTTCTTCTTCTTCTTCTTCTTCTTCTTCTTCTTCTTCTTCTTCTTCTTCATCATCATCATCATCATCATCATCATTATTATTATTATTATTATTATTATTATTATTATTATTATTATTATTTCCTTGGATTTCTGTTGCTAGTACTCCGTTAACGATAGCCTCTGTATCAACTTCATATTCTACAATATCATTAGTTCCCAGGCTCCGTTGAGATTATTATATGATATTTTTTCAATTTCTGTTATCTCTACTCAGTGTAGCAATGGTATCCACTCTCCTGCGTGTTCTCTTATTCTTGCTGACTACTAACGGATCCAGTCTCCTTTGGGTGATACTGATGAATCTTAAAGTTCCAAACCATTTTGTCTTTTTCATCCTCTAGGAAAGATACTGGTATTTATATTTTTATTTCTCTGTATTTTCAATGTATACGCTCTTTACTATTTCTTAATCCTAATTTCCTTTCCCAACCAGTCATACGTTTTATCTCTTTCTGAGTCAAATATTAGAGAACCGGTAATACTTGCTATGATTGTTGATTGGTCTTATTCTTTCATGAAGTTTTAGCGTTGCTTCTTTTGTTTTCATAACATTTTATGTCGTTTGAAAATATTAATATTTACTGGGATTAGTTTAGTCAACGATGATAGTAATAGTAATAATAGTCGTTTTATTAACATATTTTGAGGTTGGAACGCAAAAAAAAACATCTTTTAACTCCAGTCCCACAGTTCTATAACTTTCTAGCTTAATTTCAATATCGGGTATTTGTCTGTTTTTTCTGTCTTTCTTTTTTTGTCATTCATTGTTCGTTCGTTCTTTTGACTACTCTTGTTCCTTATTATTTTCTTGCATTCTTTCTTTTTCTTTCTTTCTTTGTTTCTTTCTTTCTTTCTTTCTTTCTTTTGCCATCTCTCTCTTTGATTCTAATTCCGACTTTTTTTTCTCTTTTTTCGCTTCTTTTTTTCATATACTTTTTCCTTTGTGAAACTATTTAACGTATTTTTTTCTTTTACTTTCATTCTCTTTCTTTCTTTCTTTGCTCTCATTTTTGTTTTTTTTATTTCATTCTTTGTTTTGTTTACGTAATTTTTCATGACTTCTCGTATATTAACGTTCTTACTTTCGTTCACGTTTCTTTGTTGCGTTTTACCATTTTTTCTTTCCTTTCTTATTCTTCCTACATATTTCTTACATCCTCCTTTTTTCTACTGTTGTATCAGTTATTTCTTTCTTTCATTCCCTTTCTTTCATCCCTTTGATTTTCTTTCTTCTTTGCGTTCTATTTTCATTCTTTTTACTTCTTTGATACGTTTGGTGCTTTTTTCGTCCTTTCTTTATCTATTTCCTTTTTCATTCTTCCATCGTTTGTTCTTTAGTTTTACATATTCGTTCTTTTGTTCTGCTATGACTCCAACCCCACCTAAAACGTTCCACTTCCTTCTCAGCGCCAGTCAGTCTGTGTGTCTGTCTGTCTGACTTCTTCACAAGGAGGTTGCGCGCCTCAAGCAAGTTCTTACTTCTATGAACAGTCTTTTTTTTTTTCCTTTTTCATTCAAAAAGAACAACCAATGATTTTTACTCTTTGAATTCATTCAACTTTTGTCGCCTTTATGGCGTCTTTCGATCGGGAAGGCAAAGATAAGCAGGATGATCTTCACTGAAGCATAATGCTTACTAAAGGATCGACAAACAAGATAAAAGAAAAAGTCGAGCAAGATTTACAAAGTTGTGTGGCATATGCAACAGAGAGACGAGGAAAAACAACAAATTTATGCGAACAGATCATGGAGGGAAAATGGTGGAGGGCGGGCAAAAGAAATCGCTGAAACGATTGTGAAGACAAAGATGGGCACCAGGATTATAAAAAAGAAGTAAGAAATTTTTTGGGCTAAAGGGTTGCAATTCATCATAAGGCAAGGAAAAAGAGAAAAAAATATGAGATCAAAAAGAATGGCGGGGTTGAGGAATAACTATGTAGAATCAGAGAAATAGCGTAGAGAAAAAATTACTTGTATTAAATTAAAAAAGAAAACAGAAACAAATCAAAATGCGGGCTCATCATAAAAATAAAGATTAAAACGTGAAGAATAAGAATTAATTTTATCCTGGGCATAAAATGTAAGTAATGTAATTGTACAGAAAAACACTGAAGATCGAAGCGAAAATGTTTTCGGCATTCCACTAATTATTTTGGTTAAACAAATTTTCTGTAAGTCCAAAATCTCATTGCAAAGATTCTTTCGATATAAACCGTGTTTATCTTCTTTTATGTCCGTCACCCTGCTATTTACCTTAAGCTCCATGATAAAATTTAAAGAAGAATCAGCAATATTATTTGTCCTGACCTGGCATCTCGGCTTCAGTCACTTTCCCACCGCCGTAAGGTTGTCTCTCTGTGTCATTTCTATAAATACTTTCATGGTAATTGTTCGGATGAACTTCGCTAAGTTACCTATTTTTTTAATTTAAGCGTAGTACTTGGCTTGCATCGAGTTTTCATTAATTTACAGTTGAGCTGGCTATAAAGCTTCTATGCTTACAATTCCTTTACTCGCACTTCTCTTCTGTGGAATTGCTTTCCGGCTCCATGCATTTCAGCCAACTTTAATCTGCAAATATTTCAATGCAATGTCAATCGCTATCTCCTGATTACTCTTTCCTCTACGCGCTAATTAGTAACCCCAGTGTGTTAGTGGTTTTAATGCCTAGCATAAGGTGATATTGATTAATAAAATCTGCTGTGTTTCTTCATTACGTGAATAATCGGGGAATATCAGGGTTCACTTCCTTTTAGATCGAAGGAGGACCTCTTTATCATATCCCTATACCCAATCTACTGCTACCCAGACAAAACCCTTCACGTTGTGATTGTCTCCTTCTTGCCGTCAAAAACTTTGTGAGTATTTAATTTTCTAATATTTCTTTCCCTGTTTGTATTCTGAAACGTCCATATTTCTCTTCTTGATTGTAAGTATATATCTCCTTTTAGTTTTTATTGTTGCTATTATAAAGTTGTTTTTTTTTTGGCTATTATGACACCAAACAATGTGGTGTTATTTTTCTCATTGTTGAATTGTTTCTCTCAAGTTGAGAGATGATGGTTTTCTGCAATAAAAAAAAATCATATTGTTTTTATAGAGTGTCTTCTAAGTGAATATACATTTATAACTTTTATTACTGTTGCAAATAACATCAACAAAAAGGTATTCACACTAGGTTGGAAAAATATTATCGACATATTGCAATGTTTAACAACCTCATCGAGCAGATTCATACTTTTGATCCACACAAGATATCATTGATATGTTAGCAAAACTCTCGGGTGGGAATTGTGTCGGAGCGATGCTTAGCAACTTCGAGAACTGGGGTACGGAATTTACGCCTTATTGTGTCCCATATCTGTTAACTTTAGTTGAAATAAGTGAGTAGCTAGGTAGGTGACCATTTAGTGATACCAGATACAGAAATTGCAGGTGTTGTAAAGGATAATAGCCCAGAATCTTTAATTAGATAGCCGTTCTAATTCTAGTAGGGTCCATTATATTCACTTACGTGTAAATACACTGAAAGAAAAGAAAGTTATAAATCCACCTCTTTTCCTCCAGCTATGGGTTAATTAGTAAGACTTGCATCACTAAATCATTATCTCAAAAAGTAAAATAAAATTGTGTACAAAATATTTAGATTTCGGCATTACATAACACATAGAGTCTGATATGCCACTGAACATATAAAACCAATTTTAGTTGGCCGATGTTGAAATTAATCATAATGGTTCTTAGATATTCATAGAATTATTGTGAAATGGTTAACAATCTGGTCTCATAGATGAATAGTGATGTCTAAATTCAATCCAATGAGAACTGAATTTAGATACCACTATTGGTTTTATAACTATGGTCAAACTCATGACTCCTATTCTTCTTGTACGTGCCATATATATTGAAATAAAAAACAAACACAACCCGCCATAACTTGTTATTTTGTAGCTCTCAGTTAACCTGACATTTTATAACCTAACTTTTATCCTACATAATGGCACCAATATTCACTTCTTACCTTTCCGTACGCTCATACATCATCACATAGTGATTCTCTAACTTGTGTGGATTTTGTACTGGGTGAGCATTAGATCTAGTTCCTTGCATGACATTCACTCAGTCAAACAAGGTAGGGTTATTATTTTCTATTTCTTCGTGCTTCTATTACCTTCACTATGTAATCTGTGTGTTGAATTCTCCAAAATTCATTCAGCATTCTTCACATGAAGAACACCACTGGAGATTCAGGTCTTATTTTCTTCTGGGAAGGAATGGATTAGTATTCACAGTTATATAGGAGATGAGCTATAAAATATTCGTTGGTCATTTCAAACTTGTTTCATTAACTAGATCAGGTCTGAACAACTGAAACATTTCAAGGACCACACTGATTGTAGAAAATTAGCTGCGGGCGGTAAGAATAATTTTTTATAGTAAATTACTGAGTAGGAGTTAAATAGAAACACACACACGCACGCACATACACACACACACACACACACACACGGCACGGCACGGCACGGCACGGCACGGTACGGCACGGTGGAGTAATGGATAGCGGCTTGGATTGAGGAATCGCAGAGCCGAGTTCGAATTCCAGTCTAATCCATTACCTTCACTTAGGTGCTAATACCCTTGGGAAAGGTATGACTCCTCTTCCTCTCCCTCCAGCTATGGGTAAAATAGCAGGACAGACTAGGTTCTATAGCCTTGGATGGCAACTGGTCTAGGAGAAGGTCAACTCTGAATTCAAAATCTGCGGAGGGTCGTTTGGGAAACTTGTGGCATTCGGTGCACCAGGTCTCTGTATTCGTCCCTTCAAAAAGTGTGGATGGTCCTGCACAAAGCCTTCACCACTATAATCAAATCTCATGTGCCGGTGTCAGGCTGTCGGTTTCCTGGAAACTCATCTGCTTGACCCTCATACGTCGAATCTCGACGGGAGAGTCGACTATATATATATATATATATATATATATATATATATATATATATACACAGAAAGGAATGAGGAGGAAATTGTAGCGCTTTATTTTTCTATGCATAATTATAAAGATTAATTAGATAAAAAGACGGAGAAATATATTTTGAATAAAGTCTTACTTCCACAAAATATGAATTTTCGTACGTGATTAATCACCCAATTTATTTTGATGAACTATTTTTAAAACATTTCGCTGTTAACAATGGATAGTCTCGCGGGCCATATAAAGCCCGCGGGCCGTATGCAATCCGCAGGCCGTATGCAGCCCGCGGGTCGCATGCAACGAGCTAGTCTTATGCAAACCGAGGTCCGCATGCAGGCCACAGGGCGTTATTTTTGCTGACTTGATCTAGATAGGTAAATAGAACTTATTTAATTGTCGTGAAATACCTAAGGGAACGTTTGCAAATGCTGCGCAATAATTGTGGACTATCAGATGCAATATTCTCTCCTTCTGAGTAAGGGTCAAAGTCATATCATGTATTTTCATAAATCCCTTGAATATTAAGATTCTAACACGGGCATTTATTTTACTTGGACACCGATGCTCTAAAAATCAAAGATGCAACTATCGGCGCTGTGGAATTTTTAATCAAAGACTGCTGAGTATTTTTCATTCAAATATAGATTTAGCCTTTAATTATTATTAAAATCAAATGTTACTACTTTCATCTTGTAACTTCTTTTTGAGATTTTAAATATAGGATGAATGTTGGCTCTATATTTTTCTTAATTCTTTCCACCTTTACTGCGTCATATCATATTAACCAACTCAAAAATCGGACGAATATTCTATTTCTTAAAATATAATTACTATTTGGAAGACGCCATATTGGTAGTGAAAGAATTATTTCATATGTGACCAACGCACTGCTCAAGACCCAAAGGTACAAAATTATTTTCCATCAGAAAAAATGACATTTCATCTGTTTTATAATTGTCCTATCAATATAGACACTAATCGATTGCTATTGCATTTGGACTTTTCTCCCTCATCTACCGTGCCCCCCTCAAGACGTAGACGATCATGGCTCTCCACAACTTTTTGTCCATTGTAGCTCTTAATAGTTGTTTTTTTTTCTGTTATTTGTCCTAAAATTTGTTTAGATATTCATTTACTCAAGTTCACTATGTATGTTATGCGCTGTTTTCCTCTGCCTCTCTTGCCTTCAATCTGTCTTGTGAGTATCAGATTTTCCAAGCCTTCGCTCCTCATTATGTGCCCTAGACACCTCAAATTTCTCTTCCTGATCTTAAGTATAGTTTTCCTTTTTGTTTCTATTTTATCTAACTCTTCATCGTTAGGACCATGTTAGCCCCATGGCATCTTCAGCAACACTCACTGTCATAGAGAAGGACAGATATCATGTAAAAATTTAGTACACTTTTCCTTGTTTCTATCGAAAGTTTTTGTATTTCTAGGTA